CGGCGGCAGGGAAGTGTCGGTGCGAAGAAACAGCGACGGGTCAGCAGTAGAAGGAGCAAACCCAAGAGCCGCAAGCGTAGTCCTCAGTGTGTCGTGCCACTCACGCGGTGCCTGGCGGAGACCGTAGACTGGCCGTCGGAGGCTCCACTGGGTGCCAGGAGGGAAAGTCCCAGTGAAGCCAGGTGGACGGCGAAGCCAGATCTCCTCGTGCAGGCTACCCTGCAAGAACGCAGTGCTGAAGTCGAGAGAGTGAAGCTCGTAGTCGCGCTGAGCGGCTATGTGCAGCAGCACCCGAAGAGTAGTCATCTTCGGGGTGGGAGAGAAGGTCTGAAAGTAGTCAACTCCCTGCCGCTGACTGAAGCCACGAGCAACGTACCGTGCCTTGAAGACAGGTGGAGAGCCCGGCGGCCGCTTCACCCTGAAGATCCACATGCCACTGACGATGTTCGCCCCAGGAGGGGGAACCGCGTCAACGTAGGTGCCTGTGGACTTCCAGGAAGCCATCTCTGCATCCATAGCTGCCTGCCACTGAGAGGAGTAGGGACCCTCTACGGCCTCCGCGTAAGAACGCGGAGTCGGGATGTCTAGTGCATCCGGGTCTCCCTCAGGGGCAAGCAGTACAGACGCGAGATGAGGTGAAGCAGCCGCTAGACACTGTAACTCCTCCTGCCTGTCCTCTAGGACGTCCGTGCCAAGAGCACACTCACCCCCGACGGACGGAGGACAGACAGACGCAGACTCAGCAACAAGACTAGCAGCGTAGTCGAGACGACAGCGAGCAGCAAAGTCGACGAGCTCAGCGACTAGAGCAGACGCAGCAGTGGACTCAAAAGAGGGGTCAGTGACGACAGTAGCAAGCAGACGCGTGACAGTGGGACTGGCAGCACGAAGAGAGTCCGACTCAGGGTCGGCAAGCGCAGGAAGAGAGGACTCAGGAGGAGAAGGCAAAGGGGCACGTAGAGGAGCAGTGGACGGACGTAAAGACATCCGGTGCGTGCCAGGGACAGGAGGAGGACGCTGACGCGAACTGCGACCACTAGCGCGAGCAGCACGAACAGGCGACGCGGGACGAGACGCAGGCTCACGACGCTCAGCAAGACCTCCAGTAGGACCAGTGTAAGGAGAGGGAGCAGGCAGCGGAGAGGAAGGCTCCAGTAGGGGCTGCGACTGGACAGGCGGTGGACCCTCTACTGGAGGAGAAAGACCAAGAACCTGCTGAAGGAGCGGAACGAAGTACGGCCGAGGCCGCGCGGCAGCTCCAGACTCAGCAGGGACAGCACCAGCACCCTCAGCGACAGTACCAGCGCCACCCACACCTCCAGCGGTAGGACCAACAGCAGCAGGCTCAGCACGAACGCCCTCAGCAGCTCCAGCTCCAGGAGGACCTGCAGGGCCAGCAGCTCCGGGACCGGCTGCACCCGCACCCTCGACGGTCGAAGAAGCTCCAGCTCCAGCTCCAGCAGCACCTCCAGACTCAGCAGCACGCCTCCAGCGGCGAGCGAACCACTCGCGCAGCTCCTGTGGAGAGAGGGGCTCCCGGCGAGACGCAGCAGCAGGAGAAACCCCAGGCTCAGCAGCTCCAGACGCAGCACCCCCAGGCTCAGCAGCTCCCGACCCAGCACCCCTAGACCCAGCACCTCCAGGCACAGCACCCCCCGGCTCAGCACCCCCAGGCTCCGCACCCTCCGCAGTAGCACCCTCAGGCCCAGCACCCCCAGCAGTAGCACCCCCAGGCTCAGCACCCCCGCGCACAGCACCCCCAGAGTCAGCACCCCCAGGCTCAGCACCCGCAGCAGCACCAGAGTCACCAGTAACCTCGACCGGGTCAACGGCGTCTACCTGGGACACACCTGAGGGGGCAGGAACCTGAGGGGGGAGGGGGTCTACCGGGGGGGGAACCCGCACAAGGAAGTCCGGGGGAGGGGGGAGGGAAGGAGTGCGGTAGGGGAAGAGACGGTAGAAGGGGACTGACTCGTCGAACGTGACGTCCTGGGAGGACAGAACACGACGAGAGGAGGGGTGGTAAAACTGCCACCCTGGGGCGTCAGTGGGGAAGCCAAGGAAGAGGGAGGCGGCAAAGCCGCGTCAGAGGAGGCGGCGGGGCCGCGAGTGAAAAGGCGACCCGAGGGGTCGCTAAAAAAAAAAAAAAAAAAAAAAAAGGGGCGCGCCTCGGGGCGCGCGTCGGTGGGCCCAGACAACGGTCCTAAGGTAGGACCTGCTCTATACCATGTGATAGTAGGAAAACAGGAATGAATGGACTATGAATGAAAGCAGTACAAATGTGAAACCCTAACTGGGTTGTACCCCCTATGGGATACCCCACTACAGCCTACACAGCAGTATAAGCTATAGATATGTTCTGACAGTTGTGAGCACATCGCTATGAACGTTTGAAGCCACTGTGCGGAAATCCAACTGTGCACTCTATCTTTCGTTCTAGGCACATTGGAGCCTACTGTGACTATAACAAGTGGTATCAGAGCCCCTTGGAGCAGTTTCGACAATGGCTGGACCTGAGGAAAGGGGTGGCAGAGGTCCTGGTGGCAGCAGAGAAGCCCAAGCTCAAGGCCAGCCCCGTGACTCAGCCATGGCGCCTGTGCAACCAAGTGTTGGCCCATCTAGGGACGAGCCTAGAGTGTTTGGCCTTGACAAGTTCAACGGTGACAACTTTGCTGAGTGGTCCTTCAGAATGGAGAACGTGTTTAATCACTATGACCTGCTGGAGGTGATGGAAGGAACGGAGAAGCGCCCCGAGAACGGCCCGGAGAAGACCCCGTGGGTGCGGAAGAGCGCACAAGGCTACCTCCTACTAGGGCAAGCGTTGGGGAGCAACCAGATCCGTCACATCAAGCCATTCCAGCATGAACCAGAGAAGGGACCAAAGGCATGGGCTGCTCTCAAGAGTGTACACGCTCCTGCAACAGCGGCGGTAGCTGTGGTGTTGGAACGGCAAATGGCGACGTTACGAATTGAAGAGGATGAAGCGGTTGAAGTTGTCGCTGCTGTAGCCGCCACTCCTGCAACCTCCACTGAAGTTGTTGCTGCCAAATCTGCCTCCCCTTCGTCTTCTACCCTTTCCATGGCTGTACCACCAGCCGATGCTTACTGCCCCGGCGCCATCCACACTAGCCAGCTTACGGCGACGGAAATCCTCTTAAAGGATCGCTCGCATCACGTCTTCTTGATCCAGGGAGTAAGACCAGCAACTTGGTCTTCTTTTGAAGCTCACTGTAGTTCAAGTCAGCTCCCTAAAGCCGCGTCAGCAAGTCGAAGAATTTATGCACCCCTTCTGTCAGAATCCCAACCACTAGACCATTGGGATAAAGGGGCTTGTTTACATAGCGGATGAGTGCACCCATAACCTCCAAGGTTGCCATGCCTGTAACCCTTTCCTAGGATCGATCGGGGATCACCAGTGGACCTCTCACACCCCCCCGCACTGGGATGCCCGAAGTGCACACACCGGGATTCAAACCCGTGACCTTCGCTCTAATACCATGTCAGAATCCCAACCATTAAACACGGTATAAGAGCGAAGGTCTCGGTTTCGAATCCCGGTGTGTGCACTTCGGGCATCCCAGCGCGGGGGGGTATCAGAGGTCCACTGATGATCCCCGATCGATCCTAGGGAAGGGTTACAGGTATGGCAGCCTGGGGGGTTATGGGCGCACTCACCCGCTACGTAAACAAGCCATTTTATCCCAATGGCATAGTGGTTGGGATTCTGACATGGTATCAGAGCGAAGGTCTCGGGTTCGAATCCCAGTGTGTGTGCATTTCGGGCATCCCAGTACGGTGGGGTGTCAGAGGTCCACTGGTGATCCCCGATTGATCTTAGGGAAGGGTTACAGGCACGTTGGCCTGGGTTATGGGCGCACTTACCCGCTATACAAACAAGCCCTTATATCCAAGTGGTTAGTGGCTGGGATTCTGACAGGTAGTTAGGTACCCATACTTTTGTGGATCCCTTGCCGTATGCGATATCTAGATCACACTGCAAAAGATGGCGCTTTTCTGCTACAGAGGCTTCGAGGTCGATGATGTATCCATGCGTGAAGAGTCCCCTCAAAAGTGGGTTCATGCCATCGGCTTGTACGGCGGCAATGTGTGTCAAACTTATATACGGCTTATTGTGTAGGCTGTAGTGGGGTAGCCTATATGGGGTACAACCCAATCAGGGTTTACTACTTGTACCCATCCTGCTGCTAATTTATTCATTCCTCGTCCTAGATTCTGACATGGTATCAGAGCATGTCCTGTTCCAGGACCGTCTACTGTAGGGCCCACCGATTAGTTTCTGCCAGTGGCGCCTTTTTTTCCGCGCCCTACTCTGCCCTCCATGCTGCCCCACCCGTCACGCCGCCCTAGGACCCACGCGGCGCCCTGCCCTGCCCGTTGCGACGCCCTAGGACCCGTGCGACGCCCTGCCCTGCCCATTGCGACGCCCTAGGACCTGCGCGACGCCCTGCCCTGCCCGTTGCGACGCCCTAGGACCCGCGTGACGCCCTGCCCTGCCCGTTGCGACACCCTAGGACCCGCGCGACGCCCTGCCGTGCCAGTCCCAATGCCCTAGGACTCGCGCGAAGCCCTGCCCTAATCGTCGCGTTGCCCTAGGACCCGCGCGACGCCTTGTCCTGCACATCACGTTGCCCTAGGACCCACGCGACGGCCTGCCCTGCCCATCGCCTCGCCCTAGGGCCCGGCTCCGCTTGTCACGCACCGTTAGGGCCCACGCGCCGCCCTCGCTTGACCGCCGCACTGCCCTGCTGGTAGCGCGCGGCTCGGCCCCGCCTATCGCGCACCCTTAGGGTCCTCGCGCCGCCCTCGTCTGCCCGCCGCGCCGCCCTGCTGGCAGCGCGCGGCTCGGCCCTACCTAACGCATATCTTTAGGGCCCGCGCGTCGTTTTTCCCTAACCGTCGCCTAGCCCTAGGGTTTAGGGTTTAGCCCTACATGCCTACGTGCTACCCTGTAGGTCACGCACCACCCTACTCTGCCCGTTATGGCCACGCTCAGTATCCTCACGTTTGATCTGGAGGACCGCCCGATAGAGTTTGATGCGTGGCTCGACGACCTACCGTTGTTCTTACTGAGCGATTCCAAGGACGGAGTCTCACTGTTTGACCTCACGTCTGGCGCCTCTCCTGCCCCTGCCACCACAGCTGACAATCCGACTCGCTTACAGTGGCTTACTCGTGACGCTGCTACTCGCTTAGCCGTTCGCAACCACTTGCCGTTAGCCGAACGTGCTCACTTCGGACAGCATAAGACTGCGAAAGCACTGTACGATGCTGTAGTCGCTTGTTACTCTTCCTCGGCCACTACTGCTCTAGGTCGTCTTCTTTTGCCCTACCTGTTCCCAGAGCTGTCCGCCTTTGCCACAGTAGCCGGCCTCGTCACTCACCTTCGTACTAGTAACACTCGCTACCGCGCTGCGCTTCCCGCCGAGTTTCTCACCAAGAACCCTCCTCCCTTGTACATCACTCTCTACTTCATAGTCACCCGCCTCTCTGACTCTCTTAGCGCTGTCAGGGACCTCCTTCTAACTGTTGACCCCACCACCCTCATTGTCGACCTTCTTGAGAAGCACCTCCTTGCAGCTGAGACTAGCATAGTCACTGTAGGCGCTTCTCGTGGCACTCCTCGCACCCCCTTCTTTGAGGGGTGTTCACCCTCCCCCCTTCTCCCCTCAGTCGCCTCTGCTGCAGCTGTTGACTACCTTCGTGCTGAGGAGGTAGGAGCTGCGTCTGCCCCTAGTGGGAGGCGCCGCAGCGGCAGGGGAGGCCAGGGAGGCGGGGGCAGTGGGGGCGGCAGAGGTGGAGGCGACGGTCGAGGCGGTGGAGGCAGTGGAGGGGGCGGCGGTGGCAGAGGGAGTGGTGGTGGGGGTGGAGGTGCAAGTGGCGGTGGGGGTGGCGGCAGTGGCGGTAGTGGCGGCGGCAGTGGTGGCGGCAGTGGGAGTGGAGGCGGCTGTAGTGGTGGCAGCAGTGGGAGTGGAGGCGGCTGCAGTGGTGGTGGCCGGGGTGGTACTTGTCAGAGGGGAGGCCTTGGCGGTGGTCAGAGACAGCAGCAGCGACGTCAGCTTTTGCCTCAGAAGCTACGTGAGTGGTTTGCTCTGCGTTGGGCTGCTGGGGGTAGTGGTCTCTAGTCCTATGTCATTCGCATAGGTGACTGCACTGGTCAGACATACGAATTGCTCCACACCCAGTACCGCTGCTTCTCTCTGTTAGAGACTAAGGACGGAGTCTACGAAGATTAGGTGCCTAAAATTCTCAAAATCGTTGGCTTAGAATTCTGGACAGAAACGTCGCGCTCACAAGAAACGCCGTCGACGAAACGTTCACTGTTAAAACTTCACAAAACTCAGATATGTTGTAGCCCTAAACCGTGGCTACATTTCCCAATTTGAATTGTATCCAAAGGTAAAGTATTTCTCGACTTATGAATTTCGGCGCACAGGGGGGTATACTGCCATAGAATCTTAACTCAATCACAAGAGTCTCACAAGTTCACAATTACTACACAAGAGAATTAGAGTAGCAATAAACCAGGTGGGATGGGATGAGGAGGACGAGAGGGAAGGTCCCAAGACAGTCCCCAACCAAGGAAACCCCATGCCACACAATTCCCCTCTCCATAGGCAACCCCACTTTCACTTTTGTCACTTTCCCAACCCATGCCATCCACCTTAACCCAACTTGGCCACACTTGCCAACCTGGTTTTGTTTCTCCCAACCACTTGGCAGCATCTACAGTGATGTTGACGAATTTCCCAACCCCCAAAAGTCTGTACCCAATATTGAGTCAACCCCACAACTTCTTATAGTCACCACAACCAAATATCAAAAGCATACGAACTTCCAACGTTCGTAACTTTCTTGTTCGTGCTCCGATTGAAGCGATACTTGGTTCGTCGGAAAGCTCTTGAGCAGAGGAGTCACTTCAGATATCTGCTCAAGCCAAATAACATTCACACACACTCAGAAAAACCAAACCACATCAGACACAAATTCTTGCACACGCTCACACCACGCATGCAACGCACGAACATATGATGGGAGGCAGACAGACGTGAATGCATATGATTGCATCACACAACACTCTCGTCTTACCGATGCTGATCCTTGGGGTGCTGACCCTGGGGGTGCTGATCCTGGAGGTGCTGAGCGTGAGCTTGCAGAGCCTGGGGGTGCTGAGCCTGGGGGTGCTGAGCCTGCGCGTGTTGCACCTGGGGGTCCTTTGTCTTCTGGAGGTCCTCAATGTGTCATGTCCCGTTGGGAGACGCTCTCTCCACTTCAGCTACGCGAGTGGTTTGCTCAACGCTGGAGCCTCCAGAGTGGTGCTGCTGGAGCTTGAGCTGCGGGAGGTGCTGCAGCCCCTGGTCCCGGAGGTGCTCGTACTAGAGGTACTGGAGCTGCTGGGACTGGGGTTGCTACTGGAGCTGCTCGGGGTGCTGCTAGAGTTGGAGTTGTTGGGGGTATTGGAGCTATTGGACCAGGAGGGGCTGTTGGAGCTGGAGCTGGAGGTGCTCCTGGAGCTGGAGGTGCTGCTGGAGCTGGAGCTGCTGGAGGTACTGGTGGTGTCGGTGCTGGTTCTGGAGGCACTGAGCGACCGAGACCGTACTTCGTTCCCCTACTTCAGCAGGTTCTTGGTCTACCACCCTCTACTTACCTTACTCCTCCCTTACTGTGTCCACTGCCTGACCAGTCCCAACTGCAGCTACTGCCAGCCTCCCCACTGCCTGCTCCTTCTCCTTCTCCAGCAGAGCAAAGTCGCGGTCTGCTAGCGCTGCAAGTCGACGCCGCGCCAGTGTTGCAGAAAGTCGGCTGAACATTGTTGCACTCGCATGACAGCAGCGCGCGTGCTCAGTGCTGATTGGCGTGCTGTGCTTCGACACCTGCACAGCACAAACTCCAAGTCAACCACGTGCCCACGTCTACACCTGATTCTCCAGGCCGTGCTCGGGATACCACCACTAGGATCAGCTTCGCCAAAACTACCTGGGAGACAATCGCGCACCTCCTCATATCCCCGTCGCTCGGGTAACTTGGTTGACTGGGCAACCACCAAGTCGGCATCGACTTGTGTGGCCAGTGTCAACCAGCTGTTGTACGCGCCCGTAGACCACCCAGGTCGGCGACCTCTAGCTGACTTCACAAAGCCGGCAACTCCCCAAGTCGGCGCCGACTTCCAGGTCGATTTCCTGAAGCCGGCGACCTTAAAGTCGGCGACCTTGAAGTCGGCGACCTCCTAAAGTTGGCGCCGACTTCCAAGTCAATGAGCCCCAACGTCGACCACCAGTTGAAGTCGGCCGCCGGCTTCCCAAGTTGGCAGCATTGCAGTGGCCCCATGCAGGTCGACCAAACTCGTCGACCAGCTCGCCCAAGTTGGCGTCGCCCACTGCTGCAAGTCGGCTGCACTTCGCGTACACCCAACCCCAATGTCACCTCCGCCCAAGCGAGGACAGGGCCAATACACAACTGTTGTTGACACTCCCAAGACATTTTCGTGGGAGCACACTCCATTTTGTAGGAGCAGATGCCAAGCTGCTCGAAGGTTGAGGGATTGCGGAGAAGAATTATGTACTCAAGGAGGGACTAGTGATAGTACTAGTTCTTTTCCTGAGGAGTATTTTCTAACGAATAGGTGAGACTTCCGTCGTAATACATCCAGATCAGCGTGGTTGTTGCGAGGAGTTCAAAATCGAAACGCCACGTATAGAAGTCTTTTCCGTTGAATGTCGTTGGAGTCTTCAGCTTCGATGTTGTGACGAGATTTTGTTTCACAGTTACGATTGATTATGATTGTGCACGTTGTTGATTATCGTGCAGGACCTCTCGGAGTTGACTTCTTCTCAGGGGAGAGGTAGTCCAGCAACTATTATGGCGTAGCTTGAGCCGCCTATGCTCATTACTTGATGGCTCTTAAGAGCGTTGATGCATGCGACGAGCTGCTCAACGAGAGTGGCGCTGACGGAGGTCATCGCTGAAGGTGCATTGGAGGTTGCTGTTGGTGGGCCTGGAGAGTCTGCAGTAGCTTTTCCTTTAGGAGCCATAATGATGCAGACTTGTAACAAGTGTTATAATGGATAAGTAAATAAGAGGGTCTAAGAAGAACAGGAACTTGGCAGAGCTTATAATCCAATCTAGCCCTCATACCATGTTGATATAACATAGAATCTTCGTGAATAGCATAATCTATCCAAGCGTGGGTATCAACGGTCGGAGCGAATGTCATGGTTGGAAAGAACAACTGCGCCGTCGCCCGTCTACGCATGCGGATCCCACACATCGCCTCAACGCACTGTGTCGCACATCGGTAAGTGTTTTCCAACACTTCTACCGCTTGAATCTGGTACTCAAGTCAACATTCTGACTCATGTTGTTTATTTGTGTTCCTTGGCAGGGAGGCTCTTGTGAAGAATGTGGAATGAAGAAGAGAGGATTGCACTAGCAGCAGTTGGCATACATATAGGAAACCCTAATTGGGTTGTACTCGCTATAGAGTACCCCACTGCAGGCTAGACAATTATAACATTCTGACACACCCCCACAGCCAAAGTGGGGTGTAATCAGCACAATGAGCAAGCAGGCATAGAGCACGAGTTCACAATAAGGAGCAAAGCTAGAGTTAATCACAGCGCGCAAGTGAGGAGGAGGAGGAACTGTGGAGGGAGAGAAGATGGGAGGCAACGACTGAAGCTGCAAAGGCACGGGCATAGGAGCGGCTGACTCAGTGGCTACCGAAGCAAGGGCGACGGACTACTGGAGTAACTGGCTCCGCGGCTATAGACGAGCGGCAGGAGCAACGGACCCACTCCGATTGGTGCAACAGGCTCACTGGCTACCGAAGTAAGGGCGACGGACTACAGGCGCTGCAGGCGACACACACCCCCTGCTCAAACCCTAGTTCCACTCCCATAGCACCCCCCTTTCACACACCCCTTGCTGCACCCTAGGTTCACTCACACCCCACCCCCTAGCACCACTCCGTCGACTCCCACACACCCCTCCCTCTCAGCGGCAGCTGCAGCAGTGGGAGACAGAGGAGGAGGAGGAGCAAGGGAGACCACACACCCGCCACCCCCAGACCCTAACACAGGGCAGGGCGGGACGGCGGATAGAGAGGTTATAGGGGCGGGGGGGGGGGCGATGCGCGGTCTCCCAGGGCGCCAAAACAGGCGGCAGAAGGAGCGACGCTCGCCCCCCCCCCCCCCCCCCCCCCCCCAAGATCGCCCCTCCCGTTGCCTGTCGAGGCGACCTGAGGGGGCCGCTCGCGGCACCCCAGGGAGCCGCGACGGGCGACGGGAAAAGAGGGGGGGGGGGGGGGGGGTGCACGGGCCCCCGGTGCGCCGCGACAGGCGACAGGGTATGGCCGGGGCGGGGCCGGAGCAGAGTCGAGGCAAGGCCGAAAGGGGCGGCGACGGGGTCGCAAGTGGCGGCGACGGGGCCGCAAGTGGCGGCAACGGGGCCACTGGAGGCGGCGTCAGGGCCGATAGGGGCGGCGACGGGGCCGCTAGGGGCAGCGACGGGGCTGCTGGTGGCGGCGACGGGGCCGATAGGGGCGGCGACGGGGCCGCGAAGGGGCCGCGAAGGGGCCGCAACACGGTTCAGTCAGTTCAGTCATGAATGGAACGGGAGTATTATTTTTCCAACTGTTTTGCGTTTTGATGGCACTCACACGGTTCAGACAGTTCAGTCATGAATGCATTTAATAATTGTATGTAATACAAAAAATCCGATACTAACTAACTAATAAAGAGGAGGCCCCCTGGGCTACACTAGTAGTAGTCATCCTCACCCTCCGATTTCGCATCAGACTCGATCTTCGCCTTCCCCCTTGCACAAACTGGTGCGCCGTGCGCAGGTTTCTTGGCGGGGCGACGCTTCTTCTGATTGCGCCATATGTCGACGACTTCATGCCACACGAAGTCGTACTGGAGCATGTGGATGCTCATTGGCTCTGTCCGACGAGCGTCATTGAGTGACGTGCGTATCCAGCTCTTGATGACGTTCTGCCTGCTGAACCCACGTTCGCACTCAACAGTGCTGAGCGGTAGCACGGACAACGCCTGCCACATCAGCATCAGGTTGGGGTACGTGCGAGCCCAGTCGCGCGTCTTCAGCATGTTCTGGAGCCCCTGATAAA